GGGGGGGGTGGATCGATTCGGTCTATTCACCATTCAATGCCACGGATATTGAATTGTTAATTAGAGGAATAGAGGATGTGTATTTCTGACTCACAATCATTGAATGGCAAACACAGAGACTGAATGATATTTCGAATGACTCGGAAGGGATAATTAACTGACGGTAGAACGATCAACTAGAGTGATTTTTAATAAACATAGCGAAAATGCGCGGATCCAGAGAATCCATCAATGCAATAAATTAATTGTTTCATCACAATTGAAAATAAAAGGAGAGAGAAAGTTGAGAAATAAATCACACAGCTTTCAGAGTTGAAAACTAGAGTTGCGCCAACTTTGTCCAGTGGGGTCTAGGAGTCTCCCCCGGTTGAGAAATCACCCTTAAAATCATTTGCACTATATTTCGGTACCCACTCCTGCACTCGGACCCCATTAGACAAATATGAATATTGTTAAGAAAACGTTCACATAAAATGTAAAAAACTATTTATTTCATCATTCATTTGCGTTTAGTCAACTATTTGTCAACTATTTATTTCATTTTTCAACGAATAGCGAATAACGAATAACGAAGCCGGGAATAACGAATAGCGAATAACGAAGTATTCAACGAATTAATATTTTGAGAAAATTATTTACTAGTCTATTATCGGCATATCACTAATCAATTGATTCGATGTGTCTAGTTTATTGTCTAGATTTAATTTGAGAAGTAAAAGTTGAGGGTCCACCATCTCCCATATGTTCACGGTAGAAATTACCTTGAATTCACGGGAAAACGTCCCGTATATCCACGGCCAAAGTTACCATGGAGTAAGTGAATAGACACTGCCTCAATGCCGTTCTTGCAAATCGAATTCTTTTCTTTCTTGAATATTTTCTCTGCCAACTTACGAAAAAGCTAGGCATGGACATGTTTTTTTTTAATGGCATTGGCAGGAAATTTTTTGAAAAAACGTATAAAATTAGCTGATAATGAGCTGCAAATTATCCACTATCGAAATAGTATATTTTGTAACGAGTGCAAAAAAGTGTTTTTTGGCGAGTGGGAGGTCCAACGAGCTAAAAAACATTTTTTCACGAGTTACGAACAATATTTTTCATCACAATGTGGCGGAAATTGAACTTTTAGGCACGCGGAGCGTGCCGAAAAATTCACTTTTCGTCACAGCGTGATGAAAATTCAATTCTGCTACTTTTATCTGCCAGGTATACATACGTAGGGGAGTGTGGGGTAAAACGGACACTTTAGATTTTTTTTTAATTATTCATAAATCAGAAACAAATTGATCAATTGAGCTCAGTTTAGGCGCGTCATAAAGGGAAAGAATTGTTCTTTGTATTCAGAAAAAATTATTAAATTTTATCACTATTTCAACCCCTCATTAACATTTAAAAAAAAGTCAAAAGGGTCCGTTTTACCCCAACCTCCCCTACCTTTGCGGTACCGAAAACATTCCACCCAAAAATCTTTAGAATGTGTAACAAGAAAACAAGAAGAAATGTGATAAACATAAAACAAGGGAAATGGAAATGAAAACTGAATGGCTCACCGTTGCCGTCTCCGCCTAGAGCTTTTTCTTCCCACGTCCACTCTCTTCTCCACAGCCTCAAAAGGGACACTATCGCACTTATTCACTCACGATTTTTCACAATTTATTCTGTTGCAACAGAGGAATCCCTAGTCCCAATTCACTAATATATCTTGTCAATAAATTCTGTAGAAATATTTTGTTTTCCTCACCATCATGAACATTGAAATCGTATTACTTAATTTTCCACGATTTACCATCTGTAAACAATCAAAACCCTGATTCTCCACTCAACAAAAAAAGAAATCAAGTGTCCTACTGTTCTCGGCTATGACAATTGATGAAATAATAACTTTTTCCTCGTATGTCCTCAAAAAATGTTAATAATCACTCATGACAAATACTCAACACTCAAAATCCCGCCAAAACACGTTCACTCCTGGAAATAGCATTGAGAACAAAGAAAATCCAATTAAAACCTCGCTTCACGCACTGCAGACAATGGAATCCGGTATGTTGTGTATTTAGATAAATATTTTCTCATTTATTTGTTACTATTTATCGCTCGTTAATATGCATTGAGTCAAGGCTACTAATGTAAACAAAGGACGCCGGCGTCCCATCCATTTGTAGCCGAAAATGAACACTTTTCACACGTATTTCTACTTTAATTGATGATAATTATCATTTGATAAGATCATTTAATCACTCACGACACATAATGATCCCGAAAAACAACGTAAAACCCCCAGAATTGGCGAAATAAACGAGAGATGAACCGACGCCTGCCATTGAAAATATTTCACTGTCGCCATATTGGATTCCTTTTCCCCTACCACTGCACTATCATTTGGACTACAATATGTGGGAAAATTGAAATGAAATTCGTCAATGAAGTGGATCAAGGGAAAAGTTGATTATGAAATTATCAACAATACACAATAAATGCAATGCTTTTCGTTTAAAGGCAAAATGGCGGGCGTTTTGAACTGTTCCAGGTGCCCTCTACACCCAACTCGGCATTGATTTCCGTCTCTAAATGAAAACCAAGCCCGTAGTTTCTCTCGCCGGCAAGTAAACATTCGCAAGCATGAATCAATTGATTTTTCTGCCCCAGAAAATGGGAAAATAATCATCATTAAATCGACACTGCGTTAAAATTATTTAATTGATGCCGTTATAGTTGATTTTTAAGTGCACACCAGTGATTGTTAAAAAAATTATAACCTAGTAGTTAGTAGTAACAATTAGCATAAGAGGTAGTGAAGAGTTCATTGATCAACATTATGACACTATGCAGAGATGGAAAAATTAGTTTAGCATGTTTCATCACAGCTTCCGTCCTCGTTGGGCTACCCGAGGTCCTTTTGAGGATTGAGTTTGACTCTTATCTTCATGATTTATTCAGGAATATTTGGTTTATACATGTCTTTCAGTTTGTTTTCTTGAATTTGTTAGTGTTGCTAGCTTTCAGGGGATTTCTGTACCAGGTGAGTTGATATATCCAATTATGCCACGTGATAAAAAAAATTACCATTATATATTTCTTAAAAAACATGTATTATTTTTCTTTCACATAAGGTGGCTGTGAGATCTGTTTTCCTGGGTTACACCCTTGGCATAGGAATTATAGTAGCCCTATTCGCTCCAGAATCATGGAAATGCTTCGGAATGTACATGTCAGTCCTCTCGACCTTCCATTACTCAGAATTTTTGGCAATAGCTTGGTCAAATCCAAAGGCAGTGTCCATCGACAGCTTTGTATTAAGGCACAGTGTGGCATATGGGATTGCTGCAGGCTCCAGTTGGCTTGAATTCTTTATTGAGAGGCAGTATTTCCCAGGTATGAAGGAAATATCCTTCGTCACATATTTTGGCATGCTCATGTGTGCCTGCGGAGAGGCCCTCAGGAAGCTGGCCATGTTCACAGCTAAGCACAATTTCAATCATCTCGTGCAGACTGAAAAGTCTGCTGATCATGAGCTGGTGACTCATGGTGTCTACAAGCTCTGCCGGCATCCCAGTTATGTCGGCTGGTTCTACTGGTCCATCGGGACTCAGGTTAGTTTTAAAAAAATGTTTTAAAAAACTAAATCTGTTATTTTTCAGCACTTATAGTTTCGAATAAACATCTTCCTATTGACCTTTTTCTTAAAAAGGTTTTTATGACGAAAAATAATTTTCATTAATTCTGGGACTTTCACTTTCAGCTGATTCTCCAAAATCCATTCTGTCTCCTGGCATATACAATAGCATCCTGGAGATTCTTCCATGATCGTGTAGTTCTCGAGGAGATCACTCTTTTAAACTTTTTCGGTGACGACTATGTTAATTATCAAAAGGAAGTTGGCACTGGCTTACCTTTCATCCCAGGCTACAAAATCGATACGTAGCTTGCAGTGACAGTGTAGAACTGTACATTATTTTGATTAATTAATTAATTAATTAATTCGTTCCGTGTGACATTATTTTTATTGTATAGAGGCTCATTCGACTGCGTTTGCATTTAATGTATAGCAATATTTCAATATTTATTATCATTTCTTTGTAAAAAGAAGAAAACCAAAAAAGTGAAGTTCAGTTTAAACCATAAAGTAGACAATGATTTGTCAATAAATTATATTTATGAAACTGTTGTTTCGATGGGTGATTGAAAGCATTTGAATCCTTTCTGAAGTTTATCCATGAAATTATGGAATGTATAGATGATAATAATGAGGGGAATTTCCGCAATCACCTCGGATAAATTATTACAATAATAAATTTCATCAATTTACGGCATCTGTTGTCTTCTTCAAGGCCATCGCTTTATTCTTTACTCCATCTGCTAAACGAGTTGTCAGGATTTGAGATTTTAATGTTCTATTGGAAATGATCTCCATACTTGCAGACATTTTTGTCAAACTTGTTTCGTTTGATTAATAAATGATAAACTTCTGATAATAGAAGGGAGCTCAACTATTTAAGGCGAGCTGTGCTTCGTTAAAAATCATACGTTTTTCAAACACCCAACAGTCTTGGTGTATTTCATCTCTGTTATTACAATCATCGTCGAGTGATTTTAAAATCGCCATCATGAACGCATTCAAATTGCTATTGTTTGTTGCAACTGTGGCCCTCGTGTGCGTCGCTGAATCTGGCAGGCTCTCTGCACATGTGGGACCGCTACATGGAAGTATTGGAGTCAGTGATGACCGACGCTATTAATTATTATGGTAAATACTGTTTTTTTTCTTTTTTACATTTCCCATCAACAACTATTCAATGAGATTATAAATTTGACAGATGGAATGGCCCTGTTGAACAATCTCGATGGCAAAACTTGCTGATAGTCTCTTGGATGTGCCGCAACACCAATTATCTCCAAAATTTTTGTGTTATTAACATGCTTTTGATATTTAACCATATCTGTAATGTAATACATTGGCATTTAATAAATCAATAGTTTATTTATCAAAACTATATTTATTGTCATTTCAATTTATATAATTTATACATAACAGTACCAGCTACACTTTCATTTTTTTTTGTCATATTCGCCACTTGCATTGCATACTTTCACAATTTTTAACTGCATCTATGATAATTACTGTAGTTTTTTGTTTCAATACATTCGAAAAGAAGAATTAATCAATAGGAGCTTTTATTTCATCTATAAAATTTTGATTACTCAAAGGATTTCAAATGAAAGACTGGCAGTGAATAAATTATTATCCGCACTCTCTTGAGTCAATGATAAAATCAGAGGTATTCCGCTGTCTTTGTCGTTTATCTTCCATGCAATGTATAAAAATTTTAATGAATAAATATGAAAGTTTTGTCTCCTTCTTCAATACAGTAAAGCGTCAAAAATGTGTATTGAGTATTTTTTTCTTTTTGTTGTTTTATCATTTTTAAAAATTGCAGACAACTGATGTCATGCGAATCGTAGGCGTCTACATAACTTTAAATAGTAGTTGTATAAAAGTGGGCAATTAGCGTAAGCTATTCTCATTCATTTTTACACTGATGAAAATTTATTCAAGTCTAAAAAGCAATATATCCATATTTTTTTGAAGGACTATTACTTGTCTATTTCAATAAAAAATTTACCTTGAATCGTTGAAATTATCGTAAAAAATATCTCCATCTGCAAAAATATTTTCATGATTTTAATGTAAATTTTTTCACAGTGTAAAATTGAATCTCCGAATTTTTGATAGTAAACAATTCTGTGGAGAAGAGAAACAACGTTATTCGACGAATCCAATTTTTCCTAGGGTTGTCTCAATATTTGGAGAATACAGAGGAAAATGGAACATTTTGGGAATCCCTGGGGAGATCTCCAGTTGTTCATTAATTTTCCTCGTCATTAACTTTATACTGCCTCTTTTCCACATGCTGCCCCTTCCAGCATAGAATCAATCTTCACTCTTATATCCTTGTATAATGTACGATATGCACATCAATTAGATGAATTTGATCATTTTTAAGCGCGGGTATAGAGTTGAAAGCGAATCCGTTCATTACCACATTACCATTATCCATTCGCCCCGTCCCGCATGGGAAGATCTTGTCGGTATATAAACTTTATTATCTTTTCTAAAATAAATCTGCATTGGAATAATTCCCACGTAAAAATTACATTTCTCTGTTTAAATAAGAATCGTTTTAATCACCCTCCTCAGGGATATTTGATCAAGCATTAAATATCTAGATTTTGTTTCTTTTTTTATCGTAAATCCTAAAATAGTCAACACAACGATAAAATACTCAATAATAGATTAACCAATATTCAACCAAATTTCCTAGGATTACATTCATCAAGAGCGTCAATACATTGCGAGGCACTGCTGAATCGATAAGAATATTGCACGTTAATTGAATAATAATGAGGCCAGTGAAATTTTTAGAATGGTATGAGGCTAAACTAATAGTAGGTTTTGGATGGATTATGTTGACAGGTGGGGGTGGTATGAATGCATCAAAACCGTCAGTATCACCGTCGGTGAATACCAGAGAGGAGGGATTCCATCTCACTCTAAATGAATGCAGCGTGAAAGGTTGTTAATAAAATGACATAATTTGTTAGATAAAATGACAAAATGTTTGACAAATTTTTCATTGTCTCAATGAAATGTGATGTGTACTCACCTAGTACAGGGAAAAACATTTTTCCCCCTAACAGACTTTTCCCCAATATCAATAGCACCCGAGTCCTGAACTTCGAGTGTATAAATACAGCCAGAGAAACCGCTGTAGTATCTTCCATATGTCATGGCATAATCCGGCACACCACCCAGATATACGTTGCCACGAGCATTTAGTATTCGCTTTAATCCATCGCTAACACCACTCTCGGTGTGTTCACCATTTAATTCAATACTACCATCGGTACCCTGACGTTTCAGTATTATTCTGTGGCGTTGGCCGTCGTCCACGCGCTGGGTTGTTACGCGGATTACAGCTGGTCCTGAGCCCAAATTATACTGATACTCTATGTACCTGAAATGGTAAATGGAGAAATTTCAACAATTCAATGCACCAGTGATTTTTTCTTTCATGTGAAATTTTATTATTCTATCTCTCACCCATCAATAATTCCAAGTGCAATGTAATCATCATCAGGATTGAGGTCATCTGGTGGTTGGCCATGCCACATTATCAAACCATGAGTTTTGTTAGTAGATATTTCAAAGCCCATTACTTCACGATCCTCCTCGTGTGTCATCACTGTACGCTCGAGCTCCAACCATCCATCCCCTCTGAATGTAACATCATAAGCTATTTCTACCTCTACAAAAATTATGAAGTAAATATAATATTTCAACTTTGACAATGATAAAACAGTAGTTATATGAATGAATTTACGTTTTTCACAATTGTTGCCACTAAAGCCAAGTGGACAATCACATTTATAAGCTCCATGCATCTCTAAACAAGTCCCTCCATGTTTGCAAGGTTTCAGCATTTCACACTGCCTGAGCACATTTTCACAATTAATCCCCACGTATCCATATTCACACGTGCAAGAGTAGCCGTCGTAGCTATGAGAAATTTGGCAAAGCCCGTGTTTACAAGGATTCTCGTCACATGGACTGTAGGGAGGAGTCATCGATGTATAAATCACTGACGGCGATGGAGTTTCGTGGCGGAATATTGGAACAGTTGGAAGTGGTGAACTATGACTCCAAGGTATTGCCGGTATTTCACAGTCTTCGATGTTTGCTAGGTCAATTGTTGAGTTTAATAGATGCAAATCGATTCCAGACATCTCCAACTATTCATCAAGTGCAAATCAACAAATTTCATTAATTCAAGCCAACTGAAAACATAAATAATGATGTTAATAGTTCACCTCATTGATGCAGCCATGAAAATGTCTCGTCACATCCACATTTTTATTTATTTTTATTCTAGTCCTGTTAACTCCTCCAACATATAAAGGGGTATTTAATGTCATTCGTCTAGCAGACCCAAGCGAGTGTCCCTCAACGATCCTCTCACCATTAACCGATAATTTTCCATCTTTTAATTCCCGATAGATCGTGACCTTGGTCCAAACACCCGGTTGAATAATGTAATTCGATCTTACCACAGCCATTCCACTGCCCGCGTCAAAGCGAAACTCAACGTGTCGGTCCTTAATAACAACAGCTACAAAGTCACCAACACCCTCATCAGTTTCTGAGCAATATACAAGTAGCTCGTCTCCGTTATCCGAGGGATTGAAATTCATCGAGAGCTTGAACCTAAATACATTTACAGATGATGATAATAATAATCATAATAAATACATGGATAAATAATAATAATAATAATAATAATAATAATAATAATTACTTACAAATTATATGATGGACAAATTATAAATTATAAACTAGGAAAATAAATTAAACAGAACATAAATTAAAGCAATAAAATTGTCATATGAATTTTTATTCGTTCGCTGAAAATATAATAATATCTGAACTAACATCCTGTTACTTAATATCTCCTCTTTCTATTTGAATTAAGTAAATATGATATACACAGACGACGCATACACATTTTCCTTACAAATAAGCATTTGTCAATAGCATGTCATAGTGAACAATTATTGTGTTCAAGCCTTAATGCCATGGAAGAACTACACTAGTGGTTAAATGCAAAACGGCAGTGACTAAACGTCATTCTAACGCTTTATCCAGAATTTTATAAATTTACTTTTCATCTATTAATTAATATATTTATATTGACTTAGGAAGCTCAGTTAAAAGATCGATTTTCTCAATTAAAAAGCTGTACAAAAACTATATAATTAGCAATTTCTTATCAAGTTCAGCACCACTCGGGGAAATTCATTCCAATAAGAATTGATCAACTCCCAATGGGACAGCTCTACTGGCAGTAAAAAACGTAGAGGGAATTGAGTAGAGAACATGTTTCAGTTTAGTATAATTGATTGATGATTGATAATAAAAACTCTAGTATTTAAAATGGTGCTTGGGGTGTTTTTTTGGATTTGATGATCTTGCTTTCTTAAGCTTGGCCAAGTATCCGTCGTAGGATCGTTTCGAGTGATTGGTACTTCTCACGTGTGTTCTGGAAATCATATGGACTTGATTAAATTAAAAAAATATCATTGGGTTTTTCATTTACTCTTTCTTTTTGCAGACTGATTGTTGCCCCCTTCAACTCCTGGCTTATGTATTCTCATATGAATTGATTAGGTGAAAATAAAACCATAGAAATGGAAAAAAATCACTATAAAATAATTGGTAATATTGTACTTACCGCCTGGAATTTTTGTTTGGAGATTGATAAGCGAGAAAAGAGCGAGAATTTCTGAATGCAGGCTGGTGAACTTGACCCGAGTGTTCACAGCGCGATCCATATGTACCCTGTGGGCAGTGACACTTGAAGCCATTCTCAGTGTCTAGGCAATTGCCTCTGCCGCAAGCACCTAAATAAACAATACATTTCATTTTTATGTAATTTTACAATGTCGATTTATGTCATGCTCATCAATTGTCTTGTAACCTGGATAACATGGCTGGCCATTAAAATCACAGTGTGTCCCTGTATATCCTGCCCGGCAAAGACAAGTGTATCCATCCTTAGTGGGCGCCTCTTGACACACTCCAGAATTATGACACGGATTTTCAGCGCACGTTTCGCAACTTGTAACTCCAATACTGTCTGTTTGATTTCCAATGAGATCAATAGTCTCCTCCTCGATGACGATTCTTGAGACACAACCAACGAAGCCAATGCGTTTGGCTCCAGTGCTAGGATTCAACACAACGTGATCAGGCACACCTCCGATGTAAAGTGGCTCTTTTACATCCAACTTTTGTCTTCTACCGCCGGCTACACCTTTGTAAGGGCCCTCTCCATCGACAAGCATCAATCCCTCTTTATTCATACGTTGGAGTTTTATTGTGTGCCATTCACCCAGGGATATGGGTTTCCGAGCTCGAATTATAGCTGGACCAGAGCCCAAATTAAATCTGAACAGTGAGTTAAACAGTTTTTAAGGAAATGTCAACAATTTGTAATAATAATGGCAACAATTGCAACACATTCCTGTTTACCTAAATTCAGGGAATCCATCGATCAAAGATAGAATGACAAAGTCCCCACTACCATCAGAAGATTCGGCATTATACATGACAATACCATCATAGCTCTCTGGTTTGAATGACACTTCGATATTATGTCTTCCATAAGAATCATGCAGTGGCCTCAGTGCGATATAGCTAAGAGGTGCCTGATTAAAGTTGGGTACAACTCCAGTAACAACGAGAACTGTTGGCACTTCCGAAGTTTCAGGCCCATTTGACGCAGTGCAAATGTATGTGCCTGCATCTTCTGCTCGAACTTTCAACAATTTTAACTTGTTCTGAAGGAGAACAAAATAAAAAATTTTTTTCATCACTACCGATGGGGGATAATTTTTATGTAAATAATTTTTTTTTACAAACAACTTACTTGGTACATGAAGACCACTGGGAGCAAACCATTAAGTTTACTCCATTTATATGTTATTGGACCGTTAAAGTCAACACGACAGTCCATTTCTATGCTCGATCCATAAAGGACACTCTTCATTTCAATTGCTGGTTCGTCATTTTCGCCACCTGAAGGACATTGAAAATTCAATACAATCCAATTTTACATAATAAAGAGAAACTAATAATGATAAAATTCATTCTATTAATTGATAATGATTACTTATTACTTACATTATGTACAATATATTAAATATCCAATGAAAAAAAAAGAAAATGAAAATTGTGTATTAGTAAATGATCATCAACATGTTGGACAAATTGATGGTTTAAAAATGTAAAGTCACCTTGAACAATAAGATTGTAATCCTGCTCAAAGTTTCCTTCAGGTGTATCTACTCGACATTTGTAAACTCCGCTATCCGTCATCTGCACATTAACAATTCTCAACTTGTCCCCGTAGACTTGAGCAGTAGCCGGAAGTGATCCGTCCTCCGCCTTGTACCACCTGTATGTGGGAATTTCGGTTTGTCTCGAAGAGAATACACAACGAAGATCAAATGTATCTCCAATATTGACAATATCAGTGGAAGGCTCAATATGAACTACCGGTCCTGCTGGTGCTGGAAAAATTAAATTCAGAAACCCTATCAATCTCTTTTCGAAGCAGCCAATTAACATTGTGACATTGTGAAAAAGACACATTATTACGTGAATTTATCGTGATATTGAATATGGAAATGATTTGCAATGTTATTTCCACACAACAACGACAACAACAACAAGAAAAATTTGAAGAAAATTGGAGAACAACTTGTTTCGATGATACTTTTCATTCTGATAATGACTAATGATTTCCCATTCATGTGTAAAAATAATAAAAAATAAATAGTGTCTTTTTCACATACATTCTTGGACAGTGGTGGAGGAGAAATGCTACAACTATAATAAAAAGAAAAAAAATACAATCTAACAACTAAATAAAAGACGATAATAACACACAGATGATAAACACGACACAAAGGATCACAGAACAAACCGCGTCGTCGTTGCAGATATTGTCGATATTGCGTGATCCTGCAGTAGCGTTCATCAGTTGCATCGCTGCAGTGTACATAGCCGTCACAAACATTATCCAGTGTTATGCACTCTTGGCTTCTGCACCGGTACAGCCCCCCGTCGGCACACAGTACCGTATGGTACATTGGCATGCAATCCGCAAGCGAATTAACTACTAAATAATAACCCGGTGTTTCACAATTCAAAGTAACAAACTCAGGAAATATTAAACTCATCCCTTTCTGATCGAGGAAAAAAATTGGAAAAACATTGGATAAAACCAGAGAGTCAAGCAAATTTACAACATATATAGAATAAAATTGGTAAGACTTGAAAAATACTCAAACTGATGGATACTTACGTGAGACGTGGACATTAACGTAATCGCTGGAGACTCCTCCTTTGTCATTGGTGACTTGGCAGATGTATCGTCCACTGTCTTCAGGTCTAACTCTCTCCAGTTGCAAGTGATTGTTCTGGATACGAGCATTCCTCGGGAGGGGCAGACTCTCCCTGATCCAGCTGATCTGCACCCTCTCTCTGGTGTCACACCTCAGTTTGATAGAACTTCCTGCGACTGCATTGATATCCCGTTCGACAGCTCTAATGCCAGGATCTCTGTAGGTTTCAGCATTGACAAGTACCTCAGCAACAGCTTCGGCAATTCCAGCTGAATTTGTCGCCTTACACACGTATTTTCCAGCATCATTGTAAGTGATTCCATGGAATCTCAAAACTCCATTGTCATCGGTGACGCTAGGGGGTAATTGCCTGCCGATAGAGCTCCACTGAATCCTGAGGGGTTGGTCTCCAGTAGCTGTACAAACAATTGAAGGACTCTCTCCAGGCGCGACTGTCTGGGTGCTGGGATTCAACTCGATTCTGGGTAATGAAATGACTTCCACATGACTCTTTGCTCTGAATAACTCAGTATTGTCGCTGTCCAATCCCAAACAGATGTATTCTCCAGCTGCATCCCTGCGTACGTCAGGTATCGTCAAGACTCCATCATGGACTGTGCTACCTACTGGCAAGGTTCGATGATCTGATCTAATCCAGTCGAGGTAAATCCTTGAGTCGTCAGGACCGGCTACGTGACACCTTATCTCTACTTTGCCACCAATAGGAATTCTCAGGTAATCCTCAGGGATACTCACTCCTGTTCCTCTTCCCCTTGGAGGGACTGGCGGATAGGGACGATCCACGGGTCTCTCACAGGGTTGATCACCTCTGCATGGTGGTGGATACTCGTCTACGCTGTTGTCATCGTCTTCGATTCTTACTTGAACTCGTTCTTCCGAAACACCGGCTGCATTAACAGCTTTACATGTATAAGAATCTTCATCATTGGGAGACATTGAGAGTATTTCATAAACTGCCGAGAGTGGAGGAGCGTGAGGCGCTTGCATGAACGTGTAAGACGGCTGATAGCCTTGCTGCTGGCCATGTTTGCTCCAAGCAACGTTGGGTTGAGGATGACCCTCAGCAGTGCATGTTAATCTCACTCTCTCATTCTCTCTAACTCTGATTATGCCAGTATTTGGAGTGATTTTGATCACTGGAATTGATTGGACTTGGATTTGAGCTACAGCAGAGGTTGATCCAACCTCATTGGTCACCGTACACTGGTAGCTGCCTCCATCATTAATAGTGATATTGGTAAGACGTAGGAGACCTCCAGGAAGGCTGACGATATTGGAACCGAAAGGTCGAGCGTCTTGACGGGACCAATGGACCTCAGGAAGAGGGAAACCTGCCGATACTCGACATTGGAGATCTGCTGATCCTCCAAGAATAACAGGTTGAATATTATGGGGGTAGATTTCAACTGCAGGAGCTTCTCGAGGAGACACTTCAATCATTGCAGATGCCTCAAAAACACCAGCTGCATTTGTTGCTCGACAGATATAGACACCTCGATCTGACACTTGGGGACGAACGATCTTGAGGGTATTACCATATTGTTGAGCTCGAGGACCCAACGAAGAACTCTCTCCGTATTTCAACCATTGGACTTGGATGTTTGAATTTTGATCGTTAATTAGGCATTTAACTTCGGCAACTGTGCCCTGAAAGACTGTTTGTTTTTCGGGTTCAACTTTTACCATTGGCGGATTCCGACGAGGGTGGATCGTGATCCTGGAGGTGGTGGAGGACTCTGTTCCTTGGTAACTTGTTGCCACGCATATATAAATGCCTGGAGAACGAGAAAGTTGGCTTTAAAAATATTCAGTTTGGATGAGTAAAATAATGCTGGTGTGATAGAAAAAAAGTTTTTACCTGAATCGCTAGTTCCAGGATTAGTCATTGTCAATACGCCATCTGTCTGACTAGCTGAGATAGGTAACGGTAGTCCCCCTGATCTTGTCCAGTGGACAGTCGCATGGTAATTCGATCTAGTGCAGACCATTCTGACAGTATCCCCGCTGGATCCAATCCACTCTTGGGGTGTTATGATGGGTCCAACATCAGGATATACATTGGGACGTGGTCTGTTGGGATTATTCACTACGTACAAAATCGTAGTCTGCTCCTTAACACCCAATTCATTCCTAGCAATACACTTGTATTCAGCTGCATCAGCTCTCGTCACAGCTGGAATCCTCCAGACTCCATTCTGGAATGTTGCCTCTGGATTCATTTGACCTTGGACTCGCATCCATTCTAGTTGAGGTTGAGGATTGCCTGAGGCTTCACAGTGAAACTCTACGGGTTCGCCTTCACGAATTTCTTGGTATGCAGGCCGAATGTGTGGTTTTGGTTCCACTCGATTGGCACCTGTGAATTTTAATCAATTTTCATTCATTTTTTGCCTTTAACAAATTTTGTCTTCGAGCTTGAATTCGTGGTACCTGGAATATTTAGAAGACTTTTGGGGAATGCTGCGTCCATTTTCAATAATCATTATTATTAATTTGATTGATTAGAGTGTTTAGAAAATAAAATGTTTTCTCTTGAATTAATGGAATTTTTAGAATATAATAATATTCTGCGAATCCTTACCTCCAACAGTGAGAGTGACTCTTTGATCAGCGATATTAACTCCATCAGTAACGTGACAAATGTAAACACCACTGTCTGACACTTTAACATCCCGAATGATGAGAAGTCCATGCGAATCCTCTAAACTGCGATCTGGCAATCTACCGCCTTCTTTCTCCCATCGGATACGCACTTCATTCTGCGAAAATCAATCAAATGTTTTAGAAATGAATTTTCAATAGAAAATGTATCGTCATCACTCACATTATCCAATGATCTTCCTGTGCATTGATACTTCACAGTGCTGCCCACATGGACAATCCGCAATTTATCCTCCTGAATGGAGACGGAAATCCTTGGGGGTGAGGGTTCAGGACCGGGAGGAGTCGTTACAGATGGATAATCCACTGAGAAAACACTTTTTGTCATTAAATGGAAAAAATATCAAATCAAATTCAACAATCAAAGCATCATCATCATCATAATCATCATTATCAACACATATGTTAAACAATCAAAGCCTCAACACCAAAATAAATGAATAATAAAACCCCGTCACTGCGCTAAACTCAACCTGGCTGTGGACGATGACAAATTAGCACATAAATCATCATTTCCCCAACCTGGTGCAACTGTAGTCGTTATCATAGCTAATTCATTGCCATGTCGATCCAAAATAGAACACTCTACGATACATGGATGCTGTCCTACATGCACCTTCCAGAATCTATAAGCCCCACCGTCAGTCTGCACTAGAGGTCCTGGCTCCAGTGCCCAAGCAGTCAATGGGAGACCATTGTACGAGGATAATTTAAAGTAAATGTATAATTTCTGTCCATGATTGTAGGAACATTTCATTTCGATTTCAGTGTTCCTTGGAGCTTCTGCATTCATCGGCATTAGACCTACCCGTAGTTCAGCTACACCCCATCATGCAATTTAATTTAATTTATTTTTCTTTCCAATTTGTATGATTTATTCAATGATGAATCTCTATAGCTGTCCACCGTCTATCCAGTTTAGGTGGATTATTTTGAAAGCTTTTTGAGTTAATTCTTGGATAATCATGAAAATTGTTAAAAACAAGCCGAAAGAAAATTCTTCATCCATGAATAACGAATAATTGCTCACCAATATCCTGACAATAATGTCCAGTGTAACCGGAAAGACAGTGACACTTGATGAGTCCTCCTCTATGCATCTCACAGCTCTCCTCGTGGTCATTACAAGGACAGGCATTACAGGCACCAAGAAGACTGACTGATCTGTCAGTGATATCACGATAATATCCTCGTGCACATGATTCACAGGAAGTGCCAGTGTACCCTAGTGGACAACGACAGCTCTCAATCTGCGTAGCTCTGTTCTTGCCAGTGAAATGTTCGACCGCTGTGTCTAGGCTAATATCACTGATGTAGGTACTGATCATTCCTTCACTGTAAGTCGCCCGAACGAGAATTGCTTCTAGGTTCGAGAGTACCGTCATCATATCGGTTCTCGAGGGTCTCTTTGGACCTTCTGGCGATAGTCTACGCCATTCAGATTCTCTAAGCGGTACTGAGTATGTCTGAAATTGATTGAATTGAGATGATAATGAAAGAATTATAGGAAAAGAAATTAGACAAATCAAAATGTAATATCTGACAAACGACTTACTATATGATTATCTGGATACAAGCTCACTGAATTAGTCCAGAAAAGTGATATTCCATTACCAAGGAGCATAACATCCTGATCGACAATGCTCTTGGCCCCATCCTCCGCCTTGAACCTCTGTGTCATCGTAAGATTTCCCCCATAACTCTTTACTTTGTTGCCTGTGAAGGTGGTAGGTAAACTCCAGAAGAGCCTTCTATTCTTGGTGGCAGGATTATACTGATATCCAATCTCATTCATAGCCACATTAATATCAAAAGCATCATCAATTATGTCTCTTCTGGATGCATCAGTGAGGGTAAATCCATGTTTAGAATCATATACCCAAGAGGGTATCTGTTGTATGTAGAGCGAGCTCTCATGACATTGATCAGTGACTCCGCTGCAGAAGCACTGATTGCAGCCATTTGGATTATCCGATGACAGTCCAAAGGTAGCAGGACGACATCTGTTGCAATTAGCCCCTTCGACGTTGACTTTACATTGACAACGACCATTGATACATTGGGTAGAGGTAGATCCAGCTGGATTGCAGTTGCACTGTTCAGGGAATTCTCCGTGATACTTGCAGCCCTCCCTTATTGGATCACCGGTGTATCCCAATTCGCAGAGATCACAGTGCTCTCCAGTTGTGTGATTTCCACAGTTTTCGCAGACTCCAGTCTCAGGATCACACTGAGTGGAGTGTCCATTGCAGTGGCATGGTTCGCAAATTCCTAGATAGAGTCCCTCAAAAGCTCGCGTGTAACTGTAATGATTGAAGAAATTATGGTATTAAATGAAAATATAATAATAATAATAACAATAACAATAAAATTCTACATACCCTGGAGCACAATCCTCACAAGACAGTCCAGTATATCCAACGGGACAGCTGCACTCCTCAACTTGGACAGCTTTCTCCTTGCCTGTATTATATTTTTCAGCAGTATCCAATGATACATGAGCCAGAGCTGCTTCATCTGTATGGGTCGTATAGGTTGCCTTGACCTTAATGGCTTTAATGTCGGCCAGAGTCATTAGCAGGTGTTCTCTGTCGGCTTGAGTGCCATCAGTCCTCTGCCAAAATTGCTCAAGGAGTGGAACTGCGAATGACTGGTTGGAGTTGGGCTCCGGAGACTCTCGGGAATAGTAGAGTAGATTGATGTCGTTAGCTGAGACTAACTCTACATCAGGCGCATTATTCCTGGAGCTTTGTCCACCTGGAGAAGGAACGTAGCGGACTGTATAGCGTAGACTGCCGCCATAGGATGTCACTTGGTCGCCAAGGAAGATGGAGGGTAATTGCCAATAATAGACGTCACCATTTCCCCGATTCGGAAAGTCTGAGTAGATGATCTCTCTTCGGGTGGGATCCAAGTGGATTCCTGTAGATATTTGGGGCGCGTCTGGTTTGAGAGACTCGAGCAAGGAGAAGTCGCGAATGGAATTGGTAAACGATACGTGTATCTGCAATGAAAATATTCATTGATTAATTTAATTTACCTTCTGATCATTCAGTCGGGGAGAATGTTTATTTGTTCTTTTCACAAATATGAATTTACCTCACTTCTGTACCAATTGGATTCAGAACATCTGTTGGTGATGCCCATGCAGAAACAGCTGATGCATCCAAATTGATTGTTGGAAGCTAGATTGAAGGTATTGGGCTTGCATTGATCACAAGTTAATCCAGTAGCAGATTGCTGAAATGTTAATTATTACATAAATAATCTATCTCTCTCTCTATTACTTGATTACTTACGTTGTTGGCATTAAAATAATTTACCAATTTTTCCGAATGATTGCATCAAAGTATTGTAAACATAGTTTTATTGAGAATAATAATAATAAAAACATTTAAATGGAAAATACATCATTAATGATGATAATTACCTTGCATCTGCATTTTCCATCAACATCAGCAGTTGCTGAAAGACTTCCCCGTGGGTCACAAATAGAATCCTGAACGCACATATCTCCAGCTATGAGAGGATTTCCATGGTAACCATCTGCACATTTCTCACACCGTTCTCCATCGTATCCAGGAGGACATTGACAAATTGGTCGCATATTGGAGCCAAGTCGACAAGTTCTTGTGAATCTAGAAAATATACGTTGGAAGCATTAATATTATTACTAATGATGATATATCAATAGTAATAATAATAATAATAATAATAATAATAATAATAATAATAATAATAATAATAATAATAATAATAATAATAATAATAATAATAATAATAATAATAATAATAATAATAATAATAATAATAATAATAATAATAATAATAATAATAATAATAATAATAATAATAATAATAATAATAATAATAATAATAATAATAATAATAATAATAATGAAAAATTACTGATTTGCTGGATTAGTCAAAGGACACGGGCAGAGTTTGCATTCAATATTTCTCGATGGATCCCCATAGTAACCAGGTGGACATGGAGGCTCATCCCTGTAGCATTCCCCTAACCAGAGGCCTCCTGAACGCCTCAGGAAACCAGCGGCACAGCTTTGGCAGGAGTGGCCAAAGTATCCCGATGGGCAGGAACACTCTTCTACGAAGGATGCGACTTCAGATCCAGTATCGTGAGCAGAGTCCATAGTAATGTCAGTTATAGAGATATCCAATTGAGGACTCGTCTCGTATTTAGCCCTACAAATATTGTATTTATAATGGCCGAATAAAGAGAAATAGTGAAAATCATTGACTCACTTTATGAGAATATTATCCACATGCAATAGAACCATCATTATATCCTCCCTGCTAGCTGGAATTTCTCTTGCATGTTCCATCTTGTACCAATCACCATAAAAGAACCTAACAGCCTCTTCATTCTCCTTGTCCGGCAAAATATTTCTCCCTCGATGAATTAAAGTTCTGTTATTTCCCATGATAATAACACTGGGAGCACTATTATTCCTGCCATTTCCACTGTATCTCACATTATACCTCAGATATCCTCCATAAGACAACAACTGAGGGCCAAGGTAGGCCTCAGGAAGAGCAAAATAAGGTATTTCATAGCCAGATCTAGAGTTTAATACAGAACTATCGGAATAAGGAATGATAATGTCAACTCCATCCCTTCCTTGAGGTCTAATTTCAGCAATCTGACTTGGCAACTCTCCAGCAATCCTCAGGCCATTGATATCAACATTCAGCACTCTGTGTCTATCAAAAGGCGGAGGAATCTGATAAGTAAATAAATTAGCACTTCTACATTCATCAACAACGCCGAAACAGAAGCAAGGTATACAGTCTTCAGGCCTTCTGGCTTGAGAATTGAATGTTCCCCTCGGACAAACAGTTGGAGTGTCTTTGACAATGAGAATACAATCAGGAATGGCGAATACAAAGCCAGCAGCGTTGATAGCTTCACATGAATAGGCTCCTTGATCAGAAACACTAATATCAGGACAGGTGAGGGTGCCAGTGCCATTGCTAGAGGTAGAGAAACATTTTTCAGGTACGTGGCCCCAGTTCAATCTCCAGTTGATCTCAGGCGTTGGGACACCAATGGCTGTGCAGGTGAGAACCATTGTTTCACCAGGAGTGAGAACCATCATTGGTTGTGGTGGCTTGATGATATACACTGGTGAGCAACCGATCTCGTCACTACCGTCTTGACAGTCTCTCTCCATGTCGCAGTGATAGCTCTTTGGAATGCATTGGTCGTACTTGTGGCACTGGAATTCATCGGATCTGCAGACGGAACCTGGCGGTGGGGTGCCACAGTTCTCCTCGTCACTGCCGTCGGTGCAGTCTTTGTCACCATCGCATCTCCAAATTTTAAGAACGCATTCTTTGCTCTGACAACGAAATTGGTTGGGCTCACAGCCGTGGGGGTTGCACCGCATCTCATCGGAGCCGTCTGTGCAGTCGAATTTATTGTCACAAACCAAGGATTTTGGAATGCAGTCACCATTGCTGCAAGTGGCTTCGTTGTACTTGCAGACTTGAGGGGGACGCGTCGCTGGGGGCTCGAACTTTTCCACTTCCAGGTGAACTGTTATTCGTTGATTAGGGGTTGATGGGGGATAACCTACGGCTTCACAAATATAGATGCCGGCATGCTCCATTTGAATGTTGGGAATCTCTAGCCGACCATTTATATCTCGGGAGCCTGGGGGCAGGGGAAGGTTGTTGCCACGAATCCAACGGACTGCTGATCGAAGAGATCCCTCGTCACGACATTGGAAGACCACTTCACGACCTGGTATCATAGAAAGAGAGAGAGATAACAACCATTGGGATAAAATGGGGTTGATTCATGTTTTTGGTTTTTCTAATCAAAAACGGAGAAAAAATCATGATAATCGTGTTATTAAATTATTATTTGAAAAAAAAAGAAATGAATCACAGCTGTAAATAAACACATTCTTTATGACATTGTGAATAATTAATTTCCATGGTTTTTATATTAATTTCGGTGACTGATGATCCCCATGAATTCAAACAACCATGATTATACACTTTTCCGATTGTCAAAGTCTTACCTTGTCTCACTGGGTCTGGCCGAGCCAAGAAACAGAGAAATAATAAATGTTTTTTTATTAATAATTTCACAAGATTCAAGTATAAAATTCCAACCCTTCGGAGAATTTCAACAATTATCTTGATATCAATAAATTCTTACTTTCTTTGATTATCTGCTCGCTTGGGTAGGTCTTCAGATTGAGGCCATCAGTCTCATTGGTGTCTACAAAATGATTAAATGCATTGATATCTTGAGCATATAATAATAATTATTATAATAATGAGACAAGTCAAATTACCGCATCCTTCTTCATCCGATTTATCTCTACACTCTGGGATACCATTGCAACGAGATGAGTAATGTACACAGGTCCGATCTGTTCTGCAAGTGAATTGTCCTGGGGAACAGTGACGGCCTCCCGATGATATTGTTGTCGATTCAACTGGAATGAATAGCATTGTATCAGTATTGATAACAATAATGGAGCGAAAGTGATTGGCATGAAATTCTAACGTGTTTGATTGCTCACCACAACCCTCTTCGTCAGAACCATCATCACAGTCATAAACTCCATTGCATCTTTGTTTCTCCTCGACGCAATCACCATTACCACACTGGAATTGTCCTCGAACACACCCTGCAATTAAATAATAGTTCTTATTGTAAAAAATAGCTTGCAAATTATAATTTAGACAAAATATAATAATGAATTCATGAACATCAAAGGATTAATGGCCCAACAATATACATATATTTACTATGAGAATCTATAGCTCTCTCCTCCGATTTCAACTAATCAACAACTAACATTGAACTAATTAATGGCGATCCAAGTCGCATGATTAGTTAATGAATGATTGCATCCTCCCCAATATATGTGAATAACGGCTGAATTTATCACTGGCTACTGATAAAGCTGATTAAGCTTTATTTGAATTTAATTCAACTCCACTCAATTTTTAATGGACAGAATGATGAAAAATATATGTCATATATAAATAAAATTCGTCATTTAATATAAGGTGGTAGAGAGGATTGATTCTAAAAATCTACAAAATGTATAAAATTACGTCAGCTAACTGTAACGTCAGGCATGAGATGCACTACGATACATATCAACGAAATTCAATAATTTTTTTAATATGAAAAACAATTCTACATTACGTCCAATGCCCTACACATTATTTTCTATGTCAATGCTAACACCGATTGATAGTGTAAAACCAATAATATTAATAATACGATACGATTCTTGTTCAACAATAACGTAATTAATATAGAAACATGACAATCTGATAATATATCGACCATCGAGACAAGTGAAATCATTAATTGAAAATGATTTAATGTGAAAATAGAAAATTTTCCAGATTGTCCATGTTTCATTGAAACATTGAAGGAAAAAAATAAAACAGATTTTGCGCTTTATTTTTCGTTTTCTTCGTATTAAAATCTGACCGAAGCAGTACTGTTCGTCGGTAAAGTCACGACAATCGTAGAAATTGTCGCACCGATGGGCCGCGGGTATGCAATTTCCATCGGCACATATAAAATCAGTGGATGTACAATTTCTTGATCCATTTAGTTTTGTTGTTCCTTGATAATCAATGCCAAATTGATTATGATAATCCATTGTATTGGTCATGCTGACTGATGTATTCCAGATGATTGGTGTACTTTTATGCCATGTATCATCTATACCTAGAAAATTTAAACCCAAGCACGTACGACAGTGCAGGTTTATATAGTTTTTAAGTATAACACCCATTTCTGATTCATCATCATCATCATTTCTATAATTATGCAATTCATTTTTGTCGTATATTAAATTAAATGAATAATATTCAATTGAGTTCATTTTTTTCGCAATTATTTTCAATTTTTTCAATGCTCTTTGGGGTAATTATTTCGTGTTTCAAATGATAATTGAGAGATTATTTTCACCTCGTCTGCAGTGGAGTTCATCCTCATTCCCCGAACAGTCTTGTCTACCATCGCAAACTGCTGACTGCGGTATGCAGGTGTAATCATGACACGTGTACTCGTCTGCTCTACATTCGCTTGATGGTGGGTAAGGTGTACTATCCGCTGTAGCCAATAAAAAAATTTAATAATCAATTGACTTTTAAAAAAATTATCAATTCATCGGAAAATTGAGGAAAAATACTTACGACAGTTGCTCTCATCACTGCCATCATGACAATCGATATTTCTATCGCATAAAAATTGCTTAGGAATACAAGCACCATTGGCACAAGCGACCTGACCATCGGGACAATAGGGTGCCTCTGAAAACCCCCAAAATTCTATTAGGAATCCTTATAAACAAAATCATTTTTTTGCCCCCCCCCCC